TAGTGGTATCTCTTAGCGTGCTTACAATCCTCTTCCGCTAGCCTCCACCTTCAAGAATTGATTAGAGGACTTCGAGGTGAAGTATCTAGATTTTAAATTTGATGCTTGTTATAATCGGCTATTTGCATTATTTAAATCTTTGGTTATTCTTTTGCAAGTTCTTGTAATCTCAAAGTGTAATCAATTGCTTTTGCTTAATCTTTCATGATATCTTCTTAAACTTCTACTTGAGTAAGCTAGATTTTATTGGTAGTACGCAAAGTTTATAACTTTTATTAATCTCTTATTTACAATTCTTGTCTCCGCATTTAGTTTCACATCAACTACTCTAAGGAAAAATTTGGTTAAATGTTACATTCAATCTACTAAGGAAAAATAAGGGGACCTTTAGCTTGCGAGATCGAGGTTTGTGCCCATTTCTAAATTTTTCCAAAGTTCTTGGTTGACGCAATTGCATTTTTTTCCTTATCCTTTTCCTTTTGCCTTCTTACCTATTTCCTCATATGTAGATGCATTATGTTATATAAACTTTACTTAGATGGCCAATCACATTCTTATTCCTAGACTTTGGTATTCACTTTCAGTCCTGCACAGCTCAACTTATACGTGGTTAAATTGACCGTTTTCTATCCCAACATCTTGTTAATGTTCCTAATTATTTTAATGATACGTGAGCTGATCTTTATTTTTGTAATATGTCTACCCCATCAATTAGCAGAATCATGATGATGATAGGTCATTGAGGGAATATTTTTTATCTATAAATATTGAGACTATTGTTGATGTTAGATTAATTAAACTCACTGTAATCCTTGGTATTTGTCATTGCAAGGAATCGAAGTGTTCAAGTTTATACATCGCTTACTCATGGATCTATGTTCAAGCATGAATCAAGGGACTAGATACTGGAAAAAACAATACAAGTTATAGTAGAAAGCATAAGATCAAGGAATTTTGAATAATATTACCATTTCATGTATGTGAATATACTCTTGCAGGTAGATGCACATGCAAAGAGTCAACATAATTACTGGTTACACATGTTTGGGTGTATATCTTAGTAAAATGATCAATAAATACATGAATAATGATAGTTGCCAATAAATACCCTGACTTTGTAAAAATATTGTTATTGCCTGATATAATTTGCACCAATCTAAGGGCTTTCTTCAGCCTCAAGGCAGTTTGAGGAGTTAAATTTTTTGTAGCTTCTTAAATGGGATTTTTGCAATTCACGAAAGTTCAGTTGCTTTTGTGCAAATCTCACATCTCCTTCCACTCATGAAATGAAACTCATAGGAACCCTAATTGCATAGTTTCCCTTGTTATTTGTTTTTTTCTGCTGATACTATTACACTAATTATGATGGCAACCAATGGGTTGTGCCACAGTAAAATTGCATCTTCCCAAGTCTATGGGTGCTTGGATGCATTGGTTACAACATTTCTGTGCATTTGGGCCTAGGCAATTTCTTTTTCATCTTCTCAATCCATTGAAATGCAAATGCCCTGATAGCCCGGTAAGGTTTCTGTAGCAAACTCATTGTCAGCCATTTTGTGGTAAACACGAGGCCATGTGGGGTCCCCTTCTATCCCAACAACCTATAAGGTAGTTATCAGGGTCGTCAAGCCTTATTATGCCCATCTCCGTGCTGTTTCTCCACCCCTAAAATTGGCAAGGGGAAGCCTCAATCTATCACAATCATCCATCTTGACTTTAGTAGCCTACTGCCCCCTTTTGCTACCTCTAGCAGTGGTGATTGGGCTGCACTGCCAACTTAGGAAGCATTCCGTCCGGTTAGGTTTAAAATAAATGATAAGAAAACTAGCTTAGACAGACCTAGGTCCAGATTAGTTCAGTTTGATCAAGCCTAGGCTAGATGGTTGGGATCAAGTTTAGAGTCCATCATGACTATTTGATCCTGACTTCAAGATATGGTCCAATCATTCAAATTGTATTTATATGAATCACGAGGCTGACCTGGCGGCTTGACCGTGCCTTTATTTTAGGTTGTGTCATATCAATTCTGATTGTGGTATGTATATTGATTAAATTGTGATATTTTTGTAATTTTTATTTTCAAATTTATTGTAGAATATCTGCTTAGATGATTGTTGAATTTTTATTTGGGATAAAATTTGCATTTTTTAAATTTTCATCAAAAGAGATGAATTATCTCTAAATTAGAAGTTTGTGTATTGCGAATTTGATTCTATATGCATGATTTTTTTTGCAATTAAGGAATCCTAATTCCTAAGATATCTATATCAAGTTAAGTATGTGCACAAATATCAACTAGAAGTGGGACCTTATATCATTTTCAATTAAGAGATCCTCGAAGGGTTTAGATTTTGACAAAGTCAATTTGCTGAATTACTCAACAAGAAAATCAAATGAGTGTAAATATAAATGTAGTTGATGAGTAAATTAACTTTTTGGAAGCTTATTATTTTCATCCACATGAAGCAGAAGTTGAATCGAATCAAATTTATGAATGATACCTGAAAATTGAGGGAAAAAAAAAACAGCGAGAGAACACAAATCTAATAACAAGAAAATTGTATAACGAGAAAATCAGAAAGCCACAAAATCTGAACCCAAGAAAATAAGATACAAGAACTTTAAACTCCTAATTGACAAATCCTACAAACTTCCTTACAACCAAGTGAAATGACTGGATGCTGAAATTTAGACAGTCTCGTAGAACTTAAATACGGGCAGGGTTTCTTTCTTCTAAGAATAGGTAGGAAACCTTGATTTCAGCTAATGGCTGCTTTGGAAAGTCATACAGCTTTGATGGCACTTGAAGAGTCCTCAATGGTGTAAGCAACATTTCTTTCTTTCTTTCAAGAAGTAGGTACTTGCAAAAAAAATGAGAAAGAATCACTGTAGATAGGGTTTATGACTAAAATCATTTAGCAATAGGTAAAAATTGGTACAGATAACCTGATAGAGTCACTTGCAAGGCCTCTTGATCAATTGAACCCGGCCGAACCGGTCTTTACATAATAACAATGAATTTGTGAACTGTGAATTTGATTTGTGTGTGATTTTTTTTGCATCAGATCATATAGTCATAGTTTGTAGAATTCAAATTTATTTTTGTGTGCACGATTTTTGCATATCTTATGGCGCATTAGAAAACCGTAGACCTTACAATGTCCTGCATCGCATGGTTTGATGATTGAGTTATATTTAGAAGTTGCTGTCTGAATATCAACAGGAATGAAAGTTAGGATGGATGATCCACTTTGCAAACTTACAACATTGTTTTAAACTTTTATGCTCGAACTAGTTCATCTACTCTTGTGAAGAAGTGCCGAAATAGGGCTTGTTTTGCATTATTTTGTTCTTTTTACCTGTTTTCATAAAATAAAGTGCTTAAGCCTTGTCTGATTGACTTGTTTCCAATTTCTAACAATTATCTAGCTTTTTTCTTGGAAATTTGGAAACAACCTTAGTATTTTTGCAAATCAATTGTATTTCAACATCAATGAAAATGAGCACATAATAACATGAGTGAACTTCTTACTACTTTATTTTCTAATGTTATTTAAAATATTATAATTTACTTAATTACATTTAACATAATACTAATTATTTTAATAAATTAAATACTAAAAATATAAAATAAATTTTTCTATGATATGTTTATATACTGAATTAATTTTAATTAACTCGGTGCTTTTCTTCTCAAAGTACCCTAAGAGAAAGATTATTGCTTATTTGCTTAACTTTGTCCCTTATTTTCTTCAAACAAGCTAATTCAAATAATTATTGCCTTTCCAAAGGACTCGGTACAAGGGTTGTTTGTTGGGCGGCCTAACTCCTCCTTTATAGACATAGCGAACTTGGCTTCTTCATTTGCTTGGCTTAAAAAATTCTTTTGTCCTATTTAGGTATCCATTTGAATCATCGAACTTTATGTAACTCTTGATTTTTCTCCGAGAGAGATGAGATAAAGAATCAACTGGATCAAGGGAGGGGATGGTTCTTTTAGAAAGAGTGTATTGGCATATCTTTGGAATTATTGTTACTAAATATTTATACTCCTGTAACAATCTATTTAAAATGAGCTGATTGTCTTGTTAAGTTAATTTATCATGTAAAAAGTAATTGTTGATATCATTTATTACTCTTATAAACTATTCAGTTACGGTTAGTAAATTGCATGATAAAATAATTTGAAATATTATTTCATTATTTTCATAATTGTATATTTACTAAGTAACCTTCTTAGTTTTTTGGCTATAATTCTTTTCTTTAACATTCATATGGGCATGATTTTTTAATATGTTTTTAACAATTTTGAGTTCGAAGTATTCACAAATTTCCATGGTTTTTAAAAATATTGCTGGTTAGATTATGCCATTTACTAAAAATGCTTGTTTTTCACGCAAATTTTATTAATAATAGCTTCAACGAAGTAAATGTTTGTTTTTTGGTTTTCTAAATGTGTTTTTTTTCCTTTTAAAATAGAAACGAGAAACACTAAAACAAATAATATCAATAAAGAAACAAAAAAAGAACAAAATGATATCCAACATAGCCATATGATGATTTGATTCTATCCTGTTGCTTATAGAACTTTCAGGTTTGTTTCTCTCTTTCCAGTGGAAATGTTTTACCAGTTGAAATAATATCGTGAAACGGGTAGGAGGCTTTGCGTGGAAGAGGATATCTCAGCAGCTTTGGGGTTTTCCAAACTCTTGGACAGCAGCTCTTTTTGTTGGATTGTTAAAATTATATCCAACATAGCCATATGATGATTTTATTCTATCCTGTTGCTTATAGAACTTTCAGGTTTGTTTCTCTCTTTCCAGTGGAAATGTTTTACCAGTTGAAATAAAGTATTGCTTGCAATCTTAATGAATATTCATGGAGTGGTACTTTTGACATGGATGCTACACTTTTGTGACTCAGCAACTTTTTGTTCCGTTTTTACCCTATCTGTACTTTTCAATTTGAGCAGCTTTTGATGTTGCACATTTCTTTTGTAGGCGGTTCTCTGTTTCTTTTCGATAGGAAGGTATTAAGATACTTCAGGAAGGATGGGCATAACTGGAGAAAGAAGAAAGATGGGAAGACTGTCAAAGAAGCCCACGAAAGGCTTAAAGTAATGCAAAGATTCGCTGTACTTTTTACTTTTTCATTTTTGGGGGATCGCACATGTTCAATTTTTTTATCCACATGTTCCTATTTTGACAGAACGTTTTGAAAGTGAGCAATTTGAGATGGTATATTAGCTATTGTTTTTTCTTATTTGAGGGTTCTTAACAAGTTTTTCTTAAAGAGAAGCATAAGTCACATCCAATACTTGATGATACAAATTCATTTAAAATGCAAACTTTGTCTATACTATCATCATGCTAACCAAGATACCGTTGCAACTTTATATATATATATATAATGCTGAGAATGCTATCTCATAATCTCCACAAAAGGCAAAGTTCCTGAATCATCCTGGCTCTAGCTCATGTCACAATACACTTCACTAGCTTCGATTTCTCCAATGACACATCAGTTATGCTCATTTGTGCTTCATATAATTTCAACGAGGCTCTCTAATGCCTATAAATAGCTCCCATTCAAAAGCTCAATACAACACCATTGGATACATTTGCCATATCGCTTCCTCAACATGTGAGCTAGCTGCATGTTATTTCCATTTCTTGATGAACTTCTACACATAGCTACCCTTTGCATGTCTTCTCTTTAAAATTTTTCTCATTTGGCTTCCTCTTCCTTGCCATCGACTGACATTTCTAAGGGCTTGCTAATCAATTTCAACATCTGTTGGAACTTGTGAGATCTCCTGCCAACCTCATCATCGTCATGGATGGTCTTAACGATCATAAAATATCTTAGGTCATAAAGCCCACTCTTACCCCAGAGGGGTGCAACTTTGATGAAATCAGATCGATTCCATTCGGACTTGGTACCTAAATTGCCTCAAATTACTTGAGAACCGAGCTAAACCAAATCACTATTTTTTGTTTTTATTTTGGTTTGATTCTCAGGTCCAATTGCACTCATGGGATTATCCATGTTCACAGCGAACTACATGTGAAAATCAAAATTTTATTTTAGTGCATATAATATATCACGAATATAACAGAAAATGGCTATTATGCTGTAGGAATAGATTCCCTGCCGAGAGAAGGGAAAACTCAAAACACGATACATAGCACAAGTGAAGCTCTTATGAATTGTTGTTTGTGATGGAGATAAATATTGATGTGCTCACAATTCTTCCATTTAATTCTTTGCTTGTGGCTAGAAAACCTTGACTTTGAAATTTGGAATTGCAAATGGTGAGTTCTCTTGACTGGTGAGTGGTGCCTTGAAAAGCTTTTGTCCCTCTGGTGAGTGAGATCTTGCTCTAATCTTTGGTCGTATCCTGTTTGTCTAGGATTTTATTCCCCTTCATCCCCTCTAGAAACTTTGATCTTGTCAATATTCTTTATTTCCTTCAGAGTTTCCTCAGTGATATTTCTATCACATATCTCTGGCATTTTTCTTTTTCTTTCAAATGCAAAGGTAGAATCTTGTGTTATAAATGTCGAAAAGCTTTTGTCCATCTCATCTTCCAAGGTTTTCTCTTCATTTTGAAGTTCTTGTGATATTTTGATATGAAAAATTAGAAGATCTTTCCATCATTGCACACAAACTGGTTTCTATGGCCAAGATATATAGTTGATGATCAAAACCGACATTCTAATCTTATTGTGTTTTCAAGTTCAGGATATATAGTTGATGAACAAAACCAACATTTCTCTAATCTCTTTGTGCTTTCAAGTTAAGAGGCAGAGCTTTGCAACCTGAACGAATTCAATCACTGGCCAGAACCTTAGGCTCCTGGGCTGTCGTGAGAGAAGTGTCAAGTGGCAAAGCAAGAATATACCTAAACCCAACTAAGCCCTAGCCTGTAGTAGTGAGAGGAAGCATTTTGATTACACTCATGATATTTGATTTGATTTGTGTCTTTTAGAGAAGAAGAGTTGTTCAAACTTTATTTGTTGTATCATCAAAGATAATTAAATTTTTAAAATCCCTCTCATCAACCACATGGTAATCAACTCTCGATTAAACAAAATTAGCTTGTATTACATAATTATAAATGTCTATTTTCTTAGCAATGGTGTAAGATAAAGTGCAATTCTCACTCTAAATGGTGTAAATCTAGCATATTTATAGCAAGGATATATTTTGGTATATATGTCTTTCATTGAATTTTTTGAAATGCAAGTTCATGAACCTTTAGGTTCGATGCGGGTCAATTCTAGGTTGTTTGATTAGCGAAACCAAGAACCAACCCATATATCTCTTCCGTATATTTTAGAAACCCAAATTACACTACAATTATGAGCGTTGACCCAAATTGATAGGTTTAGTTCAGCTTCTTGTATATTTGCATGCCCCTACTGACCCATGGCAAGGCACAACATAATTTGTGGGAAGAGCCATGCTAGTTAGGCCCCACTACTTAAAGCTAGTGAGTGACTAACACTTGAGCATCATGTAACCCACATCTTATTCAAGTTTCCACTATGGCTAGAATAATCACTTGTTATTATGTGTATCAAGCAATCATGCTTGATTTAATAAGTTCATCAAGCTACAATTTGACTTAAATTAACCATTCATGACCTGACATGACATAAGAACTCCTTGGACATGATTGTCCACAGTGCCAACATGTTAGTTCCATGTAGCATCTTGTTTGAAGGCCACATGATCACCTGTTCTCACTCTACTTTGGGGAAACTCTTGAGCTTGACATGTTAGCAAGATTACATATGGCAATAATGTCGTCTTCCAGAATTGCTACATGACATGTCCAGGAAATTTAAAATTGTAGATTTCCCCCAAGAGAAAAAATTACAAGATTGCCACTTGAAAAATTTTTGGTTGCAAGTTTATCAAGATTGAGGAAAAGTGCTTTTAATGTTGAAAACATAAAGAAAGCTTAAGAAAATTTTGGCAAATCTAAAAAATTGCACATGATAGGGTTCATCTCAATTAATTTTCTTTTTATTATTTTAAGTCTTTAAAATAATAAAAGATATTTATTAAAATTTCATAAAAAATATAAAAATTTATATAAAAAAATAAAACTATAAAAATAGAAAAAATATAAAAAGGTTTGAATTAGGCTCCTTAACCTGTCAAGTCTAATCAACTTATATTATTTCTATGCTATTCTTCATTTGCCTCCGAAAGTGTGCTAATTTATGCGCAAACATGAGTGTTTTGAAAAACACTGCCATTTCACCATTAGCTAGCAAGTGGTGGTAAGTTCAACACAACTATGCAACTTTATTGAACTTTTTAACACTTGAAAATGTTCTAAGACTCATGAACGGTTGTTCTCATTGATAAATGTATTAGGGCATTGACTATGTATTCCAACTAGATGGTCTAAAGATTAACACCAAACACTGAGGGTCTACACTTCATCTAAAAAGATGCTAAGGCATAGATACCAGCTTTCATCTGAAGGGATAATCATGAAATTAGCACTATGTGATATGTTGCTTCACGTCCTCCCACAAGGGGTCATTAGTTTTCACCCCAAGGGGATAACATTGAATGTTATCTCAGCTTCCAATCCATTGGATGATTCAAATTAGCTACAACAACATGTGTGCCTACACACAAATGTGTCATAAGGTGAATTGACCTCAGCCCCATGGGCATCTTCCGCTCTCAAGAATGATAAAAGACTTGCTCTAGTCACTTTACTCCATTCCTAGTCCTTAAGGGATTACCTTAATAATATAATTCATGGTTGTTGACAAGGAGTGCAACAACCACTACTAAGTCTTATTGACTTTATGAATGATGAATTCAGTGTTGATGCAAATTGATGTGATATAAGATGTACAAACATGATGGGGGTGTTTGAATATTTCCCATAACTGGCGCAAAAGGGAAGCATCTTGCTTTATGTTATAGGAAAATTATGAATGGGTTCAATTTCTGATTATAAACAATAAAATACACAGCTTCTCATTCTGCTTTTTGCAAGGGTATGCACTCAACTCTTGTACAGTGTCCTTATCTTTTGATATCTCCAAATTCTACATGCAGTTTATTTCTAGCGGTCGAATGTATTTCAAAAGGTTGTTCGGCAGTTAACAGTTGAATCCTAATATTGTTGGTCACTGAGTTTCTGTCAGTCTCATTCAGGATATCAACATCAACTTTTTGCCTCAATATTATATTCCGCGAGAGTTTACTGTAGAGTACTTTTTAAATTTTTCTATCCTGTAGGCTGACAGTGTTGATGTCCTGCATTGCTATTATGCTCATGGAGAGGAGAATGAAAACTTTCAAAGGCGGACTTACTGGATGTTGGAAGAGTAAGTTATTAAGTGTTTTAGAAAGATGATTTTGTCATTTAGTATGGTTCTTTCTACACATTGTCGGGATCTTGAAATTTATTAGATATGAATCTGATTTGCTTACTGTAGCATTTTATTCTTTAATATTCTCTATCATCTTTGACTTATCTACAGACTTTATCTCGTTTATTTTGTTAGACAATTGATTATATATGGGACTAGATGCGGCCTGAGTTGGTGAATAATTAAGTCTTTCCCCTATTGTTGCTGAAGATTTATATGTGATAGTTTTTTTAGCTATTTTTTTTAGTTATTTAAGATCTTGTTTAAAAGGGCATTTAGACAGGCTTCACCATGGTGCGCCCAATAAATGCCTCGAGGTTTAAGATTATTTGGTTTGAGCGAGGCTTATATATATATATATATTGAGGATCTATATGCTTCGAGATGTATGAAAAAACACTTCAAATTAACATTTACCTCAAAAATACTTTTAAGTTTTAAAAAAATAAAATAAAACAAGCATTATTAATTAAAATGAGAATTACATAGGGTCACTAGGACAACCAAAAAAGAAGACAGAGGGTAACTATAGCCTTACTCTATTTCACATTCAGCTACATCATATAATATATGAGACTCGCGAGAAGATCTAGTAGAATATGAACACTTCATATGAAACTTTTTCCCCCATGCCAATATACTTGTTGATATTTTATGAGTAGAAATTAGAGTCCTCCAACAAAGTGTCAGCAGCCCCGACTTCCCCGTGAGAGGAGGGGACGACGGGAGGCTACTGAATTTCTTTTTGGAGCTATCACAAAGTAATTTGAGAATTTTAATAATTAAATAATTAATCCATTTAGAAATCAATTTAAAATTTCATTTAAATAATTAAATAATTAATTAATGAATTTTAAAATTTCATTAATTAACTAATTAACTAATTAATTTAAAAGAAAAATCTCATTGAATTAAATGAGCAATTAGTCAATCAATTTAAATTTTCATTTAATTAATTGAATAATTAATTAACCAATTTAAAAACAAAAAATCTAATTAATCAATCAATTTAAAATAAATTTAAAATATGATTTAATTAACTAATTAATCAATTCAAAATAGAATTCAAAATTCATTTAATTAACCTATTTAAAATCCCTTTAATTAATTAAATCATAATAAAATGAAATAAATAAATAAATAAGAGAGTGTTTAAAGTAAACATCTTAATACAAACTCCTACCAACTAAAAAAACCAAACTCACACCAACTAAACTCAAATATCAAACTCTAAAAATTCTCAAACAAAGCTCTCAAAACATCTCCAAAATCCATGTGCAAGCTCCAAAGCAGTGCGAGCCTCCTGCAAACAAATGTACAAGAGCTAGTATTGTAAACAAAATTACAGTGCAAGAAAGAGAACAAGTACTGTAAAAAAAACTACAGTTCTAAAAGCTAAGTACTGGAACTAAAACATCGCTAAAGCGAGAAAAGAAACTACTGCAACAAAAAAAATAACACTAGTGTTCGGACTAGTAGAGAAGTGCAAATTAAGTAGCTGCTGCCCAATTCACCCTAAAACCAAACAAACAGACAACTTTCAATGAAACCAGTAAGTCCTACACCTAATCAAAGCTTACAGGCTACTTCTAATGCAGAAGCACAAGGGAAGTCGTAAGACATATCCAAACAAAGCAATAGACAACTTCCAAGGGAAGTCATAAGACATATCTACGAGCAACTTCCAATGGAAGCCGTATGCCTCGAAATAAACTCAAACCTACAAGAAACTCTTAAGCAGAGCCATAAGACCTATTTAAAACTAAACCTACATGCAACTTCTAAGGGAGGTCATAAGACCCAACAACAACATCAAGCCTTTATCCCACGTGGGGTCGGCTACATGAATCCTTTTTCTCCATTGTGTCCTATTAAAAGTCAAATTCTTGTTTAAATCTAATAAAGAAAGGTCATTCCTAATATTTTCTAACCAAGTCTTTTTAGATCTACCC